GGCTGCTGGGTTGGATGAAGTCTTTTGGGTAAGAAAGCAAATAACCTCTTTGCAGGTTCTCCCTTGGGGTGTGATACTCTCAGGTCTCACCGACCAAGCTGGATCAATACTTGAGGCTTCAGGGTGTTGCACAGAGTGACGGAGATTTCCTCAAGTGGGTTTTTTTTTCCCGGGTCTGTGTGAAACCCTGCACGGTTCCTATGGTGAAGGCACGGGTGCAATCTCTTTTAAAAGTCCTGTTGCTGAACTCCTGCCCTTTCCTCGCCATGGAAGGCCCAAGAACAGGTTTTTTTCCAGAAGCGTGGGCTGTCACACCCAAATCCCAGGGCAAGCAGGGACGTTTGCTGGCAGCTGTGTCTGGCCGCTTGCCCTCCCTGCTGCTGCAGAGCAGCGGGGCGTTCTTCTCTTCCAGCCTGAACGCCTTTTAGGAGATTATTCCATATTCACTTTCACTCCCACCAGAGGTGGCTGCGTTTCAGTCGTGGCAAAGTACTTTCCTGTTTGTGTGGTCTGTAAAGTGCTCAAGAAGCACTTCAGAACCCCTTTGGACTGCCAAGTGTTGCGGTGGGCATCACCATCACCAAACAGAGACCTTCCCAGAAGGTCTGATCCTCCGCCTTACAGGCACCCCTGGCCGCTTGAGCTGCCCTGGTAGGACAAATCCGAATGTTGCTGTCGGTGGGTAGAATCATAGAATCATAGGATCACTTTGGTTGGAAAAGACCTCTAAGATCATCAAGTCCAACTGTTAACCTAACCCTGCCATCCCACCACTAAACCCTGTCCCTAAGCACCTCATCTGCCCGACTTTTAAATACCCCCAGGATGGGGACTCGACCACCTCCCTGGGCAGCCCATTCCAGAGCCTGACAACCCTTTCAGTGAAGAAATTTTTCCTAATGTCCAACCTCAACCTGCCCTGGCGCACCTTCAGACCATTCCCCCTCGTCCCATCGCGCGTTCCCAGGGAGAAGAGGCCGACCCCCCCCTGGCTCCCCCCTCCTGTCAGGCAGTTGTAGAGGGCGATGAGGGCTACCCTTGGAGTGAGGGGCCCAAAACTGACCCCAGCATTCGAGGTGGGGCCTCACCAGCACCGAGTACAGGGGCACGATCACTGCCCTGCTCCTGCTGGTACTGGGAAAGGGGGAGACACTCGTGTGCGAGCGCTGGGACGAGCTGCGGTGAGGGGTGTTTGGGTGGGGGCACCCATCAGTTAGAGCTGCCTGCACTGGTGGGATGGGTGCAGGGGCTGAGGTACGTGGGGGGAGACCCCCCAGCATCCAGCTCACTGTGCTTCTATACCCCTCCCCGGGATGTGGCGGGGGGGACGGTGTTACTCCCCATCGAAGAATCGGGATGTTCGGGGTGCGGGCTGGCAGAGCTGCCCTCCGCCGCTCTCCTCCGCCGCGTCCAGCTGGGCTCTGTCCCTCGCCCAGGGAGGGGCAGAGCGCTGCGCAGGGAAGGTGGGGTGACAGATCCCCGTGCTTGGTGACCATCATCCTGGGAGAGATCCTGGCCTGCCTGCTGAGGCTAGGAGCCCTACGGCGTCTGCCTTTTTGTCCCCTTCCCCCTGCAACCGACTGACTCCGCTCTTGTTTTCTCTCTCCTCCTCCCTGGTCCCCCGGAGCAGCAGCGGCCGGTGAAGCAGTCTCTCAGCAAGTCCCTGTGCCGAGAGTCCCACTGGAAATGCCTGCTGCTGTCTCTCCTCATGTACGGCTGCATGGGAGCCATGACCTGGTGCCACGTCACCAAGGTGACCCGCCTGACCTTTGACAGCGCCTACAAGGGCAAGTCCATGATGTACCACGACAGCCCCTGTTCCAACGGCTATGTCTACATCCCCTTGGCCTTCCTGGTGATGCTCTACGTGGTGTACCTGGTGGAGTGCTGGCACTGCTACACCCGCAACGAGCTGCAGTACAAAGTGGACGTGGAGAGCGTGCACGAGCGCGTGCAGCGGATGCAGCAGGCAACCCCCTGCATCTGGTGGAAGGCCATCAGCTACCACTACGTCCGCAGGACCCGGCAGGTTACCCGCTACCGCAACGGGGACGCCTACACCACCACCCAAGTGTATCACGAGCGGGTCAACACCCACGTGGCAGAGGCCGAGTTTGATTATTCCAACTGTGGAGTGAAGGACATCTCCAAGGACCTCATCGACTTGGAGAGCTACCCGGCCACACGGCTCCGCTTCACCAAGTGTTTCAGCTTTGCCAACGTAGAGTCGGAGAATTCCTACCTGACCCAGCGGGCCCGCTTCTTCACGGAGAACGAGGGCCTAGATGACTACATGGAGGCCAGGGAGGGGATGCACCTCAAAAACGTGGACTTCAAGGAATACATGGTGGCCTTTTCCGACCCAGACAACCTGCCTTGGTACGTATCCCACTATGTCTTCTGGGTGGCGGCTCTGCTGACCCTATCCTGGCCCCTGCGGGTGCTAAATGAGTACCGCACCTCCTACGTCCATTACCACGTGGAGAAACTCTTTGGGTTCGACTACGTGGCCGTGACGCCGGCCGAGGAACGCTCCTTCTGCCGGAGGATGCCCCGCGTCAACACGGTGGACAGCACCGAGCTGGAGTGGCACATCCGATCCAACCAGCAGCTGGTGCCCAGCTACTCGGAAGCGGTCCTGATGGACTTGGTGGGGCTCTCCGGCTGCACCAGCTACTCTGCTTGCCGGTACGGGGGCTACCGGCAGAACTGCGAGCGGTGCCACAGGACTATAAGCAGCTCCTCCATCTTCTCCCGCAGTGCCCTGAGCATCTGCAACGGCAGCCCCAGGATCCCCTTCAGCAGCAGCCGCTTCTCCCTGGGCCGCCTGTACGGCTCGCGACGCAGCTGCCTCTGGCAAAGCCGGAGCGGGAGCCTGAACGAGCAGAGCTGCCCCACCGAGCAGACCCGTCTCTCCAGCCAGGTGACCGTGGAGGAGGAAGATCCCCCTCCTTACCAGGACGCCCTCTACTTCCCCATCCTCATCGTGCACCGCAACGAAGGCTGCCTGAACCATGACCACCGCCACCTCCACCGCAACGGGTCCTGCGTGGAGACCTCACTGTGAAAGCGGAGGGCAGTGAGATCTCGTCGTCCATTGCCTGGCCCGAGCTCAGCGCAGGATTTGGGGAGAGGAGCGCAGGGGAGGGAGATGGCCTAGGAGGAACGGCAGGATGGAGCGGGCACGGCATCTCGCTCCGGCAGCCAGCGAAAGCTCCCCCCGCTGTGGCTCTGACCTCATGGAGGGGTGAGTGCTGATGGTCCCCTTGACATGGCACAGAACTCTAGACCGACCACCACATGCAAAAAAAAACCAAACCCAACCAAACCAACCCCAAAACCATATAATTCATGGCACGAAGATCCAAAGGGGGGAATAAAGAGACAGGCCTGATGCAGGGAGTGGTTGCCTTGGCTCCCAGCCCTGGCTCCCAGGCTGACTCGTGCTCCGAGGAACCAGCAGCCACCAGAAAGCACCCTGCTGGCCCCCACCTCTGCCCACCCCGCTGCCCAGGCTGGAGCGAGACCCCTCGCAGGGTGGAGGGGAACAGACCCTTGGGGAGCAGCGTGTGCCTGCCTGTGCCTAAAGGTCTGGGGCACCTGGGCACACTGTTACTCTATTCTCACTGCTGGGAATGGCACCGCCTCCAGAGGATCCCAGGCTCGGCTCCTTAGGAAGCTTCGGCACGCCAGCTCTGAGTCAGCATCCCCCTAGGTAAAGGGCTTTCAGTTTGGGATGACGGCAGGCAGGCAGCACCGGGGAGGGGATGAACGGGCAAAACCCTGGTGGAGCGGAAATCTGCGGCGCTACTGATCCGCTTGCTGGAGAGAGAGAGAAAACGGGAGGCCCCCGGGTGAGCCGGGGAAGGGGGAGACGATGGGCGCTGGGACAGGCATGGTGGTAATAGGCAACGCGTCAAGCGGCGGCGGGGGTCCCTTCCTGGCTTTGAAGCGTGTCCTAATGGGTTCAGACAAGCATCAAGGAAGGCTCTGGCAGGTTCAGCGGCG